ACGATTACCATGAAAGTATTTATAGAAAGAGACAGGGAGGTAACCAGCATTACGGCGGTGGGAAGTTGACTGGACTTGAGATGCCAGATGTGGCAGCAAAATTCAAAGCAAGGATGAATAGTAGACCTATAAATATGTAAGATAGATTCTTCTTTGGATTTTATCAAGAATCTCTAAATATATAGCAGGAGTACCAGACCAGATGTGGCAGCAATATTCAAAGCACGGATGAATGGTAGACTTATAAATATGTAAGATAGATTGTGGCGAGAAAAATTGTCTAGCACAACACTGTGAACAAATATTCCTAGCAGCAGACCCTGCAATTGATTCAATATAATCTTTCCACTTCATGTCAGTAGAGAATGTTAGCGCGAGAAGGCGCAACGTGTCACTCACTTGGAGGTTAGCATCAGCCATACTGATGGAAGGCATAAAGGGGTCTCTCAGACAATTAATAGAGAGGAGTTTCATTTTGGAGGCGTTAAAATAAACAAATCATTCCTTATTTTTAATATAATTTTTACCATTATTATTCTTCTGTTAATGTAGGAATTATAAAATCTAGGATCTGCAAATTTTACTAATAAAAGACCATTTTTTGGTCTCATTTTTTTATCCCATGACCCGTGGGGTCACCATGTGTACTGCGGCCACAGTAGAAGTGGTGTTTCATGGGCAAGATAACCTGACGGAGCCCAACTCTCCCCAGGTCGGTTTTGAATTCACCTGTTACTTATTTGTGAGAACAAGAAGACTATTAGCGCGTAAGTGAATGTAATTGATCCGACTGGAATTCGAACTCGGCTCTCCGATTCCTCAATCCGAGCCGTTATCCATTACTCCAGCGTAAATGACTCGGCTGTAAAATATTAACTTTTTTTTCTTAACTCAGACGTATTTTTATTACATTGTGTTTTTGGCGATTGTCATTAGTATGCACTGCAGAGAATTCAATTGAAACTAAAATGTTGATGTCCATGAGAAATTGTCTTTTTCAGATACGGACGAATAAAGACGTTGAAAACATAACGTTAAAAAAACAGCTACAGACGTGTTTATATGAGTGACAGAACTAATTTCACTTCGGAACTAATTTCAACTTGGAATTAATTGCAACTCGGAACTAATTTCTTCTCGGAATTAATTTCAACTCGGAATTAATTTCAACTTGAAACTAACTTCACCTCAGAATTAATATCAACTCGGAACGAATTTCAACTTGGAAATAGCTTCACCACGGAATTAATTTCAACTCGGAACTAATTTCAATTCAGAATTAATTTCAAATCGGAACTAATTTCTTCTCGGAATTTATTTAAACTCGGAACTAATTTCAACTTGGAACTAACTTCACGACAGAATTCATTTCAACTCGGAACTAATTTCAACTTGGAAATAACTTCACGACAGAATTCATTTCAACTCAGAATTAATTTCAAGTTGGAACTAATTTCAGCTCGATTTAAAATGAAAGTTATCAATTTCCGTGAATTCCTAAACAAATTCAATGAGTTGTTATTAATTTTTTAATTTAGCATTAAAAATCCTTATTAGATAAAATAATTCAGAATTCATCTTTTCTGCTACTTTCATTTAATTAGTTCCGAGTTGAAATTAGTTCCGAGTTGAAATTAATTCCGAGTTGAAATTAGTTCCGAGTTTAAATTAATTCTGAACCTCCTTTATACGACGATCTTGATTCTTTTTACACCCTTCTGAGCTTGAAATGTCAGCTCATACGTCTGGTAGAGGTGCTAGCCACCGCTCGGGTACTTCAAGGTACCTCAGTTCTTAGTTACTATATTAAAAACAAATAAAAAAAATCGTTTGAAAATATAACGTTTCGCCAAAAATAATTTGATGGGTAGGGGTTAAGAGCAACTGTTTATTCTTTCATTTTTATCCATTCCCCCTGCCCCCATCTGTACACTTAGTCTATGTCATTTGATATTGTAAACTATTCTCCGGTGTAGACGTGCATATACGTTTTTACCGAACTTATCAAATAGACACGTCCAAAACATAATGTTAAAAAACCAGTGACAGTATTCTGATTGCATTTTATAATAAAATTTGTTTAACTAAATACATGTACCCCATTTGCTTTTCCTTTTTCATAATAAAAATATTATTAGAAACTCATTTTAATATTTGTATAAACCTATTTACTTGTGATTAATATAAGTTCAATACTTTGGTTAAAATTATTCAAATGAAATCCTGTAAAATAGCAGTCTTGGAAAATTTGATACTCACAAGACAGAGTGAACGTAAGCGGTTCTGGAAAACATTGCGATCTTGAGTAAATGGATGAATAAGGTTTACGAGAGATAGAGAAAGACGAAATATTAATTTTTTTGAGAAATCTGTTTTCCTAAGAAATTGTTTTAAGAGAAAATTTTTTATAAATTTCATCAGCAAGCAGAACTGGCTGCTCAGTCAATGAATGTCAAATATTTCCTTATAGGGAAATGGCTATTATTACCATTCTTCTGCAGTACCTTCTGTCAGTAAAGGAATTATGAAATCTAGGATGTTCAAATTTTGCAATTTTTACTAATAACGGAGCCTTTTTTGCCTCATCAATTGGCTGTAAAATATTAACTTCTTTTTCTTCACTCAGGAATAAATTTAAGGGATACAATGACATAATCAAGATGTTGACATTCCACACCACCTCAAATAAAAGATCAGAAAGGACCCCCCCATCAATACTAGAAAAAGCGATAACAGCTACTGGACTTGAGAAACCTGTTCTCCTAAACAAAGTGTTTTAAGAGAAAGATTTTATAAATTTCAACCGAAAGCAGTACTGGCTGCTCAATCAATGAATACGAAATGTTTCCTTATAGGGAAAAGGCTAATATTACTATTATTGTAATTCAAACAAATATTAACTAAATCTATAAACCAGAATCTCCTTGCAATTTCTTCAGAGATGTATTCAGGAAACTACTTGATTAATAATGAAAATTTGATTTACCACTTGCTAAATTTTAAGAAAAAAATTTTGCGGGTGATTCAAATCTCCAGAGTATTGACTAACAACTAAAATGGATAGCTCATTTAATTCTAAAGTAAAATAATGACATTATGAAGATGTTGACATTCCACACTACTTCAAACAAAAGCTTAGAAAGTAAACCCCCATCAATTCTGGAAAGAGTGATAACAGCTACTGGACTTGAGGAACCTGTTTTCCTAAGAAATTGTTTTAAGAGAAAGATTTTTCAAATTTCAGCTGTAAGCAGTACTGGCTGCTCCGTCAATGTCAAATATTTTCTTATAGGGAAATGGCTATTATTACCATTCTTCTGCAGTACCTTCTGTCAGTAAAGGAATTATGAAATCTAGGATCTTCAAATTTTGCAATTTTTACTAATAACAGACCATTTTGTGTCTCATTAGTTGGCTGTAAAATATTAACTTCTTTTTCTTAGCTCAGGATACAATGACATAATCAAGATGTTGACATTCCACACCACCTCAAATAAAAGATTAGAAAGGACCCCTCCAATCAATACTGGAAAGAGCGATAACAGCTACTGGACTTGAGGAAACTGTTTTCCTAAGAAATTGTTTTAAGAGAAAGATTTTTTATAAATTTCAACTGAAAGCCATTTCTGGCTGCTTGGTTAGTGAATACCAAATGTTTCCTTGGAGGGAGAAAGGCTAATATTACCATTACCGTTGGCATTTTGAGCGCAAATGTCAGGACACCTGTGTCTCTGGTTGTGTTTTCGGCTGGAATTCTTTCAGGGGTTACCATCAAGTGTGCTTGACGATTGGTATTGAAAGTCTGGGTTTGGGCCTTATCGTAGAGGGATGGTGTGGTAGTTCAGGGAGTTTTTTTTTCACAAAGCATTTTTTTTCCTTTCAAGGGCCAGTGTTATCTTGGTGATTCCAGTTGAGAGACTTGAGATTAAATAGTATCGTCAGAACCAAACTCAGGCGACACGTGGATGTCAGGACAATTCTAACACGCCATGTTCGTTATTGGTCATTTGGATGAATCGTTAACACACGCACCTGTACATACAAACGTGTATCTACGCACGTACACAAACGCTTGTATACTCGTATATAAGCCTGCGCATACACACATGTACACACGTACATGCATACACACATTCACGTGCATATATGCGCGTACATGCACACGCATAGAAGCACACACAGACACACACATATATTACAAGTTTGGTACCCGAATTGTACATACACGCCTACACACGTACGTACAGAAACGCACGTGCACACACAAGTATACACATTTATATGTCATCTGTTCTGTGTCTGAAAGCTAAGCAGACGTGCATACACAAGCGTACATACAGACGTACGCAAGCACACATAAAATATATATATGCACACGCATACACATGTACGACAACACATACATAAAACAACACGGACATGTCTACACATAAACACATATATATTATCAGTTTGATGTTTGAAAAAATACACACGCACTTTCACACAGATATATATATATATATATATATATATATATATATATATATATATATATATATATATATATATATATATATGTATAAAATTTCTCCGATTTAACCAGTAGAGAAGACAATATTTATGAATAAAAATGACAATAGGAAAACCAGTAATTGCTGACGCGTTTTGTCCAATATGGACTTTATCAAAGCAAAATACGAAATGAATTTAATTGAACAAGGTAACTAATAAAAACAAAAACAGAATGTTCCTAGCAACTGGAAGGTAGAGAAACGCTATTTTCATATATTCATTATTCATATATATATATATATATATATATATATATATATATATATATATATATGGAGATGTCTAGAATATATAGAATATATATGTATATATATATATATATGGGGAGGGGTAAATTATACAAATCCTATAAAATATAGGATTTGTTTGAAGTATGTTACTTTATCTGCGTTGTATACACTGGATATATTTATCTGCGTTGTATACACTAGGCATATTTGCATTTTTCATGAAAAATATATGAGTGTATAACGTATTGAGTGAATGAGAAGTGTAGCTGAGGTGATATGCATAAGGAAGAAGAAAGATAAAAAGAATGAAGAAAAAAGAGAGAGAGATGTAGTGTAGAGGTAAAGAGAGAAAGAGGGAAAGTAAAAAGAGAAAAGGTGTAAGAGGAAAACGAGAAGCGAGGTAGAAGAAAAAGAAGGAAAGAAAGAAAGACAGTGAGAGAGAAAAAGTGATGAAGAAAACAAAGTACAGGAGTGAAGAGAGAAAGAGTGAAGGAGAAAAGAAAGAAAGTGTAGAAGAAAAGGTAGAAAGAATGAAGGAAGAAAGAAAGAGAGAAGTAGTGTAGAGAAAAAAGAGAATGATGGAAGAAGTAATGGTAAAAGGTGTAGAAGGAGAACGAGAAGCGGGGTAGAAGAAAAAGGAAGAAAGAAAGAAAGGAAGAAAGAAAGAGAGAAAAAGTGAGAAAGAAAAGAGAGAAAGGGTGCAGAAGAAAAAAGAGTATTAAGAAGCAAAGAGAGAAAGAGTGTGGAAGAAAAGATAGAAAGAGTGAAGAAAGAAAGAGTGAAGAAAGAAAGAGAGAAAGAAATGTAGGAGAGAAATATAAAGAGTGAAGAAAGAAAGAGTGAAGAAGAATGTAGAAGAGAGATAGAAAGAATGAAGAAAGAAAGAAAGAAAGAAAGAGAGAAAGAATGTAGAAGAGAAATAGAAAGAGTGAAGAAAGAAAGAGAGAAAGAATGTAGAAGAGGAATAGAAAGAGTGAAGAAAGAAAGAGAGAAAGAATGTAGAAGAGGAATAGAAAGAGTGAAGAAAGAAAAAGAGAAAGAATGTAGTAGAGAAATAGAAAGAGTGAAGAAAGAAAGAGAGAAAGAATGTAGAAGAGGAATAGAAAGAGTGAAGAAAGAAAGAGTGAAGAAGAAAGGAAGAGAGAAAGAGTGAAAGATTAAAGAGAGAAAGAGCGTACAAAGAAAGAGAGACTGCATTCGAAAACAAACAGATATTTATAATCGTTTACGCAAAGAGAAATTCGTGCAATTAGGCTTCTTGACAAAAAATCCTGTTTCTGTATGCGTCTTGAAGTGTTGAAACTGCAACAACCCCAAAGATTGTTTTGCGCGCGAACCCGGAAGCCATTTTGTTTAAAAGCGCGTGATTAAAAATATAACCAACCGAAAAAAAAAAAAAAAAAAAGCTGAAAGTACAAAATTTTGATTTGAATGCAAAAGAATTACCATCATGGACAATTCTATATGTTTATTCATCAAACCTTTTTTTTTCTCTATCTCATCAATACAAAGAACGTAAATATCTGAAGACCCTTAAAATCGAAAATGCACAAACAAACGCATTATTGTGAGAAAATATTGTTTCCGTTGAAGCATGTGTTCGTTTTATCGTTTTTCATAATAATAGTAATGACAATAATAACAAAAATAATAATTTATATATCTCTATCTATAAAAGGCAGGATGTGTGTGTGTAACCAATGCACGGCCGCAATTTTCGACGGATTTGCACCAAAATTTACATGCACAAGTTAGCGGGAAGGCCAAGACCGACATTGCATTTCCCACCTCCCATCGATAGTGGTAATAATCGACTTTTTCATGCTTCTACGGCAATTTTCAGGTAGTTTGCGGTCATTTTGTATTGGCCAGAGTGAGAGCCAATAGCTGGCTGCCACGAATAGGCAGGAAGATTCTATTGGCCAGCGTGAGAGCCAACAGCTGACTGACACGAATTTTGACTAGCATGCTAGCATGCAAAAAAAAAAAATCAATAGCTGCATTCGTCACAAGTGGGAAAAATTTAAATCTGCATGGCACTTTACGCCAATTAGCTCATTCGCTTGCTTAAACTCAACGTTGATTCTGATTCCACAGAACTTGTTTGGGTGTGAAAATGTATTTGTTGTTAACATTCTTTTTTCATTCGGTTTTTCCAGTTACGAGTCCTTTTTTTAAAGCTGATCATTTTGTGTTCATTTTGTTTAGTTCTTTTTTCGTAACAGATTTAATGTTTAGTATAGAGCTTAGAAAAAATTTGCAGTGTGAGATAGGCAAGAAGTAAGGCATGTAGCAACATCAGCACGGCAAGAGCACTCCTTTAAAGACAAGGAAGGGCAAAAATATTTTTAGTGAAGTGATAGCGATTGCAGCATGAGTCGTACGATTTTTTGAAACAAGCACGTGCAACACCGGGCCATGCTGCTAGTATATATATATATATATATATATATATATATATATATATATATATATTTAAATATAAAATAAATAAACAGTAGAATATTATATTTCTTCATACATATATATATTATTTATATATATATTTAATTATATATATATATATTTAAGAGAAATACATATATATATATATATATATATATTGTGTATATTTAGGCAGCAATTTTTCATTGATACATGTTTCATTAAATGATATAGACAAGTTGTGTCTATTTATTTTAAGTAAGTTCCTTTCATATTGTCTGATAAGCTTAATAACATTATCATTGACGGACGAAAGGAAATCAACATATAAGTATTTATTATTTTTTTTCATACAGAGAGAAAAAAAATTACCCACTACAAAGATCTAACAAAAACTCATTATAAAGATACAACTCTGTTTCAATGCATTTAATTGCACTTCGACAGGTGAGGACCAAAATGTTTATTATCTATCTATCTATCTATCTATCTATCTATCTATCTATCTATCTATCTATCTATCTTCTTCAATATGGTTGCTTCTATCTGAGTAGAGCAGGCCTCATAAATTATCGGAGGCGTCACACAGAGCTAAGGCATTAGTTACGCATTATGCGACATTTATTTAACAACTACTACAAAAGGCCTCCAATGGTGCTACGGCTGCGCACAACAATATCAGACCCAGACTAAAAAGTCAATTTCGACCTCCTGATATTTGTGCATGGGACAAGTGATGACATCGTTTGACATCTATCTATCTATCTATCTATCTATCTATCTATCTATCTATCTATCTATCTATCTATCTATTTCAGTCTTTTCGTAAATCTATCTATCTATCTATCTATCTATCTATCTATCTATCTATCTATGTCAGTCTGTTCATTTGTCATAAAACCGTTATTTGATCATACTTGGATATTTTGCAGCACCTCCATAGAAAACATTGTAAATTTCCAGCAATATTTCGTTAGGATATGATTCCCATCCCTGTCGCCATTCCCTACATCATCTTGCAAAGAAGCTGTCAGTTTTAAACTAAAGGAGCTCTCAATAGAATGATGCCATTAAACAAGATAATGAATATTTGCGCTCGAGGGCCAATACAAAGATATTAACGCAAGTCAAACTCCTGACTGCACGATATTGTTAGACCGAAAGCAGATGGAGGCCTTTTAGCTGAACGTTTGTGTCATTGCAAAAAAGATTCTGTCACAGGTTCTATATTTTTGAAGTTCTAACAATCTGAGATTTTCCAGGTGTTTATATTTTTTAACCCGTTGTCCTGCAATTTTTAGTCCCCAGCAATATCGACTTTCTATCTGGGACAGCATCATTCTGATTTAGACTATATTAAAAAAAACACCATAGGCTGGATCGACCGAATCCCTGGGAACCAGAAAACCAACATAACGAATGTGTCTTGAAGTGGAAATATAAAATTTATTTGTTAAGAATAATTTATTTGTTAAGAATAATGTTTAGGAGTAATGACGAAAGTCTACAATGATGCGAGAAAGGGTCTTTCTTTCTTTCTTTCTTTCTTTCTTTCTTTCTTTCTTTCTTTAGCAATAAAATAAAATTTCCATCATGGCGTCTGGTTTTTAGAAGGTTAGTCTCTAATTTATAAGATATTTACACTAAATAGAAAGTAACTTATTAAATATAACCAAAAATAAACACAAAAGTTCACTATGGTAATAAAATAAGTATATCCCATCTCCCCTCTCACTTGTAACTTAGTCCCAATTAATACCGACTATCTGGAAAAAAATCATTCTGATTTAGACCGTAGTGAAAGAATCAAACACCATAGCCAAGACGGATCGAATCCCTGGGAACAAGAAAACCAACAAATCATCTTGAAGTGGAAATATTAAATTTATTTGTTAAGAATATAATATTTAGGGGTCATGACAAGTCTACAAGTCTGTCTAATTTCTTCAATATGGTCGCTTCTTTCTGAGTAGTGCAGGCCTCAAAAATTATCATAGACTTCACACAGAGATAAGCCATATTTACACATTATGCAACATTTATGCAGCAACTAATACAAAAGGCCTCCAAGGGTGCTACGGTTGGGCACGACAATGTCAGACCCGGACTAAAAAGTCAAATTCGCACTCCTGATTCTTGAGGATGGGACAAGTGATGGCATCGTTTGATATCTATCTATCTATCTATCTATCTATCTATCTATCTATCTATCTGTCTGTTTTCATCCATCTATCTATCAATCTCAGTCTGTTTTTATCTATCTATCTATCTATCTATCTATCTATCTATCTATCTATCTATCTAATTCTGTACATTATCTATCTCATCCTGTCTGTCTGCTTATCTATCTATCTATCTATCTCAATTTTTAGTCCCCAGCAATATCGACTTTCTCTGTTACAGCTTCATTCCGATTTAACCCGTAGTGTAGGCGAAGAACTCCTTGTGCAATTACATATTTCATGATAAATGTTTCAACGACAAAATGAATGGCGCTACAATGTCTTCTGTAAATAAATAGTCAAAATAGTATACCCGCATAGCGATAGTATTACCATTTACCTTACTTCACTAACACCACACCGAGCTTCTTCTATGTCCCGTGTTCCTTCATGTCGTGGGCGATCATGGTTCACCACAATTCCCTGTCCTTTGTCTTTTTGCTGTCTCACCCAAACCCTATATTGCCAACCATTCACACAAGTCCATTATCCAGATTATTAACTGCTTTAATATGTCTTGTAAGTGTCAAATTTTCTAAGCCCTCTTTCCTCATTATTCTCTTTGGAAATTTCTGACGTTTTCTTTCTTTTTATGTGCCATGTACTATCAGGACGTAGGCGATCATGGCTTTCCACTTCCCCCTATTCCTTGCAGCTCTCAATAAGTTCCTTCCATCTGCTTCCTCCCCCAGATCAGTTCTGTCATCCACTTGCTTAAGTCTGCCAGGTATGTCACGCATTGTTTTTCCTTGTCTCGCTTTCCCCCTATTCGACCTTTGAGTATCAGATTCTCCAGGCCCTCCTTCCTCATTATGTGTCCCAGAAACTTCAGTTGCCTCTACCTGATATTAAGAATAAGCCTCCTCCTTGTTTGTAACCTGTCTAAGACCTCATCGTTGTATAGAGCTACGCCAACTTAAAACTACTTACCGTAAAATATCTGATACTAAGATTTTGTTTGCGTTCATGCCTGCCAGGTAAGACACGGTCACTGAAAATGCATGAATTTTAACCCTTCCAGATTATGTGCCATGTCCTTTCAGGATGTAGGCGATCATGGTTCTCAACCTCCCTCTAAACTCTTGCAACTCTCAACAAGTTCCTTCATTCTGCTTCCCCCCCAGACCACGTTCAGTCATCCACTTGCTTAAGTCCGTGTAAATCACGCGTGGTTTTCCCTTGTCTCTCTTTCCCTCTATTCGACCCGTGAGTATCAGATTCTCCAGGCCCTCCTTCCTCATTATGTGCCCCATAAACTTCAGCTGCCTCTTCCTGATGTTAAGTATAAGCCTCCTCCTTGTTTGCTAACTCTCTATGACCTCATCGTTGCTCACACGCTCGGTCTATGTTATCCTTAGCATCCTTCTGTAGAACCACATTTCTGTCGCCTCGAGCCTCTTCTTCGTCTTTGAGAAAATCGCCCAACATTCGCTGCCGTAAAGAAGGACAGATGTTCAGTATTCTTTTCTTCGTTACCAAAGAAATCCTCCTGTCTCGCAGTACTCTGCCCAAAATTTGGAATGGGTCCTTGGCCATCCCAATACGTCTACG